ATTATTAATGGCATATCAAAAATCTCCTGTAGGACAAAAAATCATTTTGCTAGTTCTCTTTTAAAGTTATTAGCCTTAGGGTTAAACAGCGATCTGAACCGTGGTTCACAACTGAAATAAGAGGTCTCATTTATTGAACAAGACAAATGCTTGAAAAAGTTCAGAAAAACTAAAAATGAACATATACTGTATTCTCAGTGTTTAAAAAGTTGAGAAATGTTATAAATTATATAAGAATAGAAAAGCAAAGTCTACTTTCTTTTTGAATAAACTAAAAGAAAAGAAAGATAGTCCTAAAAATTTATGGCATGTGTTAAATAAATTGGGTACCAGCAAAAATAATCAATTGGGTAACCTTGCACTAAAATGTGAAAATGACATTATTCACGAAAAAACACAATTGCTGGCTATTTGAACTAATTTTTTGTAAACATCCCTACAGGTACAAATCTGGTAACTAAACTTCCTCATTGGGCGTTTACTTTCAAAACATGTTCAAAATGAGGGCGATTTTAAATTTGAAGAAATCAATGAGAATACGTTTATGAAAATACTTAATGTTAATAAAGAAAAGAGGTTGGATTGGACTTAATACCTGCAAAATTTCTAAAAGATGGATCATCGACCATTGTGGGACTGCTTACTCATGTCATCTTTATAAAAACTGGATCTGTTCCTCAGGATTTGAAATCTGCCAATGTTGTCCCTATATGTAACAAAAATGATAAATTAGGTGCAGTGAATTACAGACCAGTTTCTGTTCTATCTTCTCTCTCTAAGATTATACAGTAGAACGTATTCTATATAATCAAATGATAAGCTACTTAAGTGATAAGTCCTTACTGTACTTCATAATTTGTAATTTGGATTTAGGCCCTCATTTTCTACTGATGTATGTTTGATACATATGTCTGATAGGATTTGTAAGGGATTTAACTGGTATAGTAATCATTGATCTGCAAAAATCCTTCGATACCGTTGCTTATAAGATATTGCCTTACAAATTAAAATCTATTCTGTAACATGGATGCAGTCCTACTTAAATGGCAGGTTGCAGTCAGTTTACATAAATGTGTCCCAATCATCTATGTTTGAAACCAGATGTGGAGTTCCTCAGGGTTTCATTCTCGGCCCACTCCTATGTTTAATTTATGTCAACGACACGGTATCTGCCCTAGACTGTCAGTTAATGCTATGTGCTAATGATGCAGCACTTATGGTATCTAGCTAACAAAGATGTTGGGTTAATCGAATCTAAATTAAGTAATGAACTCCAGTCATTAAATGGCTAATTGATAATAAGTTAACTTTAAATTTGGGTAAGACTGAATCAACCCTCTTTGGTGCAAGACGTGTGAAAAAAAATCCAATATTATGGACATTACCTGTAATGTCCATAATATTGGACATTACCTGTAATGATGAGTCTATTGAATGAAAATCATACATTGAATACCTTGATCTTGATCAACATTTATCTGGCAGAGACACTGGGACAAAAATCATCCGAAAAGTGCACTGTGCTCTAAGTTATTATATAGAAAATTTGTCACTCCTTATGCCCTTAAACTCCTCGGTTCTTCTTTGACTCAATGCCACTATGATTATGGATGTTGCATTCTGGTCTTGATAAAGCAACCAAAATTAAATTTCAGACATCCCAAGGCAACATTATTAGATGTATCTTAGGTCTCCGACATTGGGCTCATATTGGTTTTTGGTTATAATGAATTCTCTAATTTAAATTAGTTGCCAATTTATCTCAGGGTTAAGGAACGAAAAGTGTATCATACTGTATGTACAAGATTATTAACGATGTTTCCCCTGTTTATTATTCAGGTATCACCAAAAACATAATTAAAATACCAGATTTGCTACCGACAGAATTTCATTAAAAGTTCCTAAATCTGGTTGACAAAACCACTTCACATTAAACCACTTCACATTAGGACAAATGAATGGAATAATTTGCCATTTACAGTTCAAAATGCAACTTCCGTCTACACACTAAAGAAAAAAATAAAGCTTAAATTATAACAAAATTTTAAAAATGAGGGATCATTTTTAACTTAAATGTTTAGTTGATTTTATATGCTTTGTTAATCCTTAGGCCTTTTTTATTTAGTTGTGTTTTTACTGTACAGTATCTGATTGATCTTGTCGTCTTTTTTTTTTATGTTAGAATAAAGAAATAAAAAAAATCAAATAAGTAGTTAAAAATCACCTATCATCTTATTTTGTGAGATAGCACCCCCTCACATAATTATCGAGCACCCCAAACTCACCGTCACGCACCCCCTCAGACCGTTCCCCCCCCCCCGACTCATGGAGCTAGATACGCCACTGAAATTAATTATATGAAAAATGGACCTAATATTTTGTTTCTAATAGGGGTGGGAGTGGGAGGGGATCTCATCATTCTTTTTGGATAAATTCGCCGTTATAGTTTGCACTAATTGCACCCTCTAGAACTGGCATCCACTCAAACTAGCATTCACCCAAAGTATGTATTGACTCCCATTCTAATTTTTAGGTGTACAACAACAAAAGTGTAGAAGAGAAGCATTATTTTTATTAATGATACATTCAGGTATTAAGCATGTGGGCCAGCAGTTGTCTTATTAATTGCAAATATTGGCTAATAATAATGTTATGGTTTTGAACAAACAATAATAGTAATACATCACTCTGGAGTTATTCGGTTGGCCAATGAGAGAAAATCATGATGAAATGCACAATTCATGCTGTATATAAAAACATGAAAATACAGTAATATAATGATAGTAGGCCTAATAATAGATAGAGTTTTTTTAAAAGTTCTAACAACAATTTATTTTATGAATAAGAACTATTTCCATTTTTTTACTGTCTTGCAGGTTTATTGAAACGCTATGGAATTGCAAGCTGTAATATTAGCTGCAGGTCGGGGGTCACGGATGACTGACCTCACAGCCAGCTTACCAAAAGCTTTGTTACCTGTTGCAAATAAACCAATGATATGGTATCCAATCAGCATGCTGGAGAAGGCAGGATTTGATGGTGAATTTGCATATTCACATTTTGTAGATCAAGTGTTTTAGGCGATGCTTTTTTTATTTCTTTTTTAGTTGACAAGCATTCTGCCTGTATTTCCGTTGAGCCTGATATACCAATTAGTTCATGATATAATAAAAGGGTGAAGAAATTGATTTCTTCTAATAATTACTTAATGCACATGATTGTATGTGAACTACATATATGAATCATAATTTATTTATATTTACAGAGGTGATCATATTAACTTTGGATAGTACAAAAGGTGCCATCTATCGGGCGTTAAAATCTACACAAATTCAAATCAAAATGGATTTTGTCACAGTGTCTAGTGAGGAAGACTTGGGTACAGCAGACTCCCTCCGGATCCTTAATGAACAATGCAAAATTAAGGTGAATTATAAATAACATTGTCATTTTAAAAGGCTTTATCTCAAGAGGTGCTTGCTGTGCTATATTCTACCTGCAAAGACTGCCTATTATTTTTGGTATCATTTACATAGTGCTCATATAATGTGGCAACATTCATTTCAGCATAAATGTGATAAGTGGGATGGGATGTTGTACTAAGGTTAACATATGTCAGGGAATTTTAAGAAAATCGGAAGGTGGGTGGGAGGAGATGCAGACTTTTACAATGGTTGGGGCTGAGGTAGGAAATGTTTTTGTCTATGGCACCTCTGGATGCCTAGAAATTGCACCCTCAAACTTATTATGCTTGAATGTAATTTTCATCTTTTTTCTTTAATTTCAAAAAAATTTTGGTAACCCCCTCTCCCTTGAATCCGCTTTCGGTAACTCATTGTTATCATTTCAGACTGACATCCTTGTAGTGAGCTGTGACCTAATAACTGACATTGCTCTTCATAAACTTGTTGATGTGCACCGGACGTATGACTCTACCATGACGGCCCTGATGATGGCACTACCAGAGCAGTCCTCTGAATCTCTTACTATCCCAGGAACGAAATCCAAAAAGAAATTAGGTAACAATTAGAAATACAGGTCTCGCTCAAATTAAAGAACCCTATAATTAAAGACCAATTTTTTGTGGTCCCAAATAACAAATGGCTTATCCTTATTATTCTAATAAAAACCAAAGCTGCTAAAATTCTGGTCCAAGAAATAGTCTTTAATTGGAGGCTTATGGATGT